CTTGAAGATCGTTAATCGATCAAAAATTGATTCAAATGTTGGCTCATATTGAGATCAAATTGAAATAAACGAGCAGAGCTATGAGACAAACTTTTGGATCAAATTTTTTTTGAGCCCACCCTATCTCGACTCGAATTCAGATCGTTAACAACCCTAATGATGTTAAGACTGTGAATTTAACGAATTTATCTTGAAGATCGTTAATCATTAAAAAATTGATTCAAATTTTGGCTCATATCAATATCGAATCAAAATAAATGAGCCAAGTTACGTGTCAAAATTTTGGATCGATTTTTTTTTTGAGCCAACCTGTTTGACTCGAAATCTGATTGGTAACATCCTTAAAGAGAGTTGACTGTGTTGGGGCAATGGTTGGGCTGACTCGTTCTCTCAGCTTGATATATCTTAGTTTTTGGTTTGAACGATCTGTATCCGATCAACTTCAAGTGTCGATCGCTTTGAGTCCTGATCCATTGGATCCTTTAATCTTCCGATGATGAGACCCTTGATCTTTCATCTGATGACCCTCATTATTGTACTTTTCAATCTCTTAGTCTGTTGGATTCCCTCGAGATTTGTTTTGACACATTTTTAATGTACAAAACAAAATCTTCATTGTTGTAGCAATAATCTGCATTCAATTGCACACACGATTGCACATAATGTGCTTGCGTCCATGTTGCGATGGTTGCTGCCTCAACCCAACCTAACTCAAACATTTATTGTTTTTTATTTTTCATACTTAAATTGACATTTATGAAGATTATTGTTGGCTCTAAAATAAACTTTGATTAAATTTAATGAAGAGTCTGTTTGGGGCAGGTGCAACTTATTCAGCTTATCCTGATAATTTGCTGATGACCAGCTGATCCGGATAAGCTGGCTGGTTGTTTGGTTTGTGCGCTTAGAAAACAACTGATTCTGAAAAAATGACCTGCCCCTGTCATGAATAAGCTGTTTATATATTTGGTTAGTGCGTTTTGTAAGCAACTTATTTGTAATTTTTTTAGATGAATGAATAATCTGTGTAGCAGAATTTGTTATTTTCTCAACAAAATTAGAGATCAAATCTTAAGACATAAAAATACAAAAAACGTAGAGTTGCATTTAGATAAGTTAAATATATTTGATCACATCAAACAAATAAATTGATGTATACAAAAGTAAAATGCACCTTCACATACTAATATGGAGTATAATGAGACCAAAAAAAAGAAAAAATAACATGTCAAAATGATAAGAAAAAAAATTATAATGTTGACTTTAAAATGTAATAGCATATCACGACCAATGCTGCCGGGCTCTGACACTCCTGAACTCTGAGCAAAATAGTCCTCCTGGGATGGAGTAGAAAAGGAAGCACTCGAACCAGATGCGATGTTTTGAAATTTTGCTATCGACGAACTCTAAGTAGCGGTGTCTAGTTGGGATATCATAGAAACAGACTCCCTGTCGTCCACCTAAAGAATTTGCAATCCTCTTGTCGTTGTGCCCACCGCGGGCACCTATAAAATTGCCTCCCGAAGCTATCTGCCTGACGCGATGTGAGTAGCAAGGACGGTAGTCCGCACCGACACATCACTTTCTCGGACTTCCCAGAATATCTTGAACTCATCATCCTGCGGTTATTAAAAGAAAATAAATCAATCCAAAAATTTAGGAAATATAGAAAGTATACGTACCAAAGTATGGAGGCAGTGGTTGCCAACAACAAATTTCTGTGGTCATCCAAACTGCTCCAGCGTTATGTCAATAAAATCAGAAATTAGATAAAAAATAAATTGGACAAATCCATTTAATAGCAATTGCTCCATTAATCCATTTGCAAAGAAGCAAGTAGTTTGAAGCAAGTAGTTTGAAGTGATCAAATGAATTGAACATATACATTGCAGAGAATGAAACTCTTATAAATATCACTTCTCAGCTTTATATATTACACAAAAACTCAGCTTTACAAGAGAGGAGCTGATGGAGAAAGTGTATCTATTTGGAACTACATGTAAACCATAATATATTGAACTACCATAGTAAATACATAAGATTTGTGTGCTATGTATGAATTTCTCAAATAAAAAAGCAACACATTAAACAAAAAACTGCAGCATATTACATATGAAAATCTGCCTTTTTGTCGAGCACTCAAGGACTTTAACACATTTTAGAAATAATTTGTTATCAGCCACAACTTCAGGTATGTCTTCTAAAATGTTCATAAAACGGTCAATACTGGGATCATCGACTTCTGGTTCAACAGGTTGTGGAGCTGCAAAAACATCTATTAGTCTGTATGTTGAACTCTGCACGAATACATCTTTATTTTTTTATCATTTTTTTCCATCTTACGCCTTCGATTGACATGTGGACTCGAGCTCCCTCGGCTTTATGCTAGGACCTTCATCAGATCCCATAACCTGATCAGGTGTCAAGTCGATTGATATGCCATCAAACCCCAACTCATTTGGGTTGAAGGTATTTTGTCTCGTAGCGATAACTCCCTTGAACATTACATCCAAATTATCTTCCAATTCTGGGTCAATTCCACACACCTTAAATTTTTTCGCCATTAGTACAACCTACAATATGAATTATGGCATATTACAAAAAATTAAAAGCTAAAATATGAAGAACCTAAACAGAAAGAGGGGGGCTGAAAGTATTACCTATAGCTTTTCAGCCCACCATTCGTCTGAATCATCCACAGTACGTTTGATGGGATCCCAACCCAATCCTGTGGATCCTCGTTTCAGTTTCTTCCATAACTTCCAGTACTTTTTTAGTTGATCCCACTTGCTTTTAAATTTTAATCTATTGTAGTCATGACCGGTCATTTCTTTGAACTTCTTGGAAATATTTTGCCACTCTTCTTTGTTAAAATAGGTGGTAGGCCTATTACTGTTTTCAATCTTTTTAATACATAAATTGCAAAAAATGTTGGTGACATCTTTATCCCATATAGCTGACGTAGAGGCTTCTTTGTTCTTAACCATAACGAGATTAATAAGAAAATGATTCAATTCTTCAAGATTGCTTGCAAATATTAGGCAATACTAACCAACAGTGTAAAGAGGTAGAAAATTTTCAAGTGAGCTAACATAGCATTAGCAAACATTACCTAAGAAAACCAACTTGCCAAAAATGCTATTCCAATCAGGAAATAGCCCAATACTGCTTGAAAATATAACAATAAAACTGATATAACTATTAATGATGTCAATGAGAGAGATTTGATGTTTGATATTAGATCTATTACAAGCATGGAAGTGGGAACCTCTCTTCAGGAAATGGATGCAGTGTCATCCAATAAAATTAAAAGAAAAATTTACATACATGCTAGACAATTATTATATATGTATTGCATACGAGACACTAGTGATGTTTGAGAACTGCATCATAGATGGTTGAGATCCTTTCTTTAGGCAATAGTTTTTTTTAAAAAAATTACATACATACCACACGAGTTATAGATGGCCGGGGGATACTCTCTTTCAGGCAATGGATGCACAGTTCTTATGTAATAACATATCCATTTTTCTATCATTATTTTTGATGATAACATTTTTTCTACCAGAGATAACATCATTTCCATAACCAGAAACATCGAATCTATCGATCTCCTAGATAAAAAAAAAATTCCAAACCATCGGGCTACTTCGCCTAGGAAAAAGACGCAAACCAGATCCATTTGCAAAGAAGTGTAGAATGACTTAAAATAAATATAAGGAGAAAGAAATAACCGAGGAAGATGAAGGAAATTCAGAAATCGATTAGCATTCTCCGTGGACATCGAAAAAGAAACGGAAGGAGATTCGGAGGAGATACGATGGATACCTTCATGGACGAGGCGAGAGGAGCGACGAGGCGAGAGGAGCGACGGGGATACCTGCTTGCGGCGAGAGAAGCAACGGGGGAAATTAGGGCACTCTGCGAGACTAGGGATACCTCCTCGAGCGATACCAGGGGAGGGAGCGTCTTCTGAGCGATGAAACGCAGATCGCGGGTAGGACCCAACGATCTGCTTGTAATACAAAATGAAAACCCTTTTTTCAAAAACACATCTGATAAGTTTTATCCAAACGGGCCCTTAGCATTTTCAAAATGCCACCACACCAAATAAGCTGCCCTAAACGGGCCTGAAGTTTGATATTTCAACAAAAAAATTCTCCAAATAAATTGTAGCTAGCTCCCAAGTACTTGTTATATTTACCCGTCGCCACCTCATGTTGCTTGCGAGCAACCTGCGCCTGCCATTAGTTTATCGTCAGTCGTCGCCTATAATCACTGTATGTGATTGTTAACTGCCACCCACTACCTATGGCTATTAGTTTCAACCTTGTAATTTTTATGCTGATTTTATTTTTCAAACAAATATAAAAAAATAAAGTCATTTTATTTACTTTATATAAATTTAAATAAATTTCAAATATGTAAAATACATTACATTTAATGTGTGAATGCATATGCAACTTTTTTACGTATTAAAAAAGAAATGTCAATATTACTTTTAAAAAACAACTCAATAAACCCCTCCTCACGGCAAAGAAAAATTTGCCTACGTAAGACAGTACGCAGCGCTGCGTACGTCATGAAGATTATTCAGCGGGTATAAGAGGGTTATATCCGCGTTATACCCCTATAATCTTCCTGTAACTTACTTGTAACATACCTGTACCTTCTAGTAAGTTTCATACTTATGTTTTCATATATTTCTAGGTTACAAGTAAGTTATAAGTAAGTTACAAAAAGATTATATAGGATATAATGCAGATATAACCTCAAACTACCTTCTAAATAACCTGCCCGACGTATAAATTTTTCTCCTGAACCACTCTTCCTCAGTAAAAACACTTCACAGCTTTTCCCCCGTCAGCGATCCGCGTGCTCCCCCTCAACACTTATCCGTCATCCGATCGACACCCCACAGACGCATATCAGCCGTCCCCTCCAATCACCAAAGGAAACGCTTTTATTTTTAAAATATTTTCCCCCCCTTATTTTTAGAATATATCCTTCCAATTCCCCACTTTTATATCTCTTCTCCTTCACTATTCTCCTTTCCTGTCTCAAAACTCGAATCTTTCTAACTCATCCAGGCGTTGTTCGCCGAATTCCAGCTTTCTCCATGGCTGCCGTCCAGGACGAGAGCAAATCCGCTTCTCATCCACTGTACCCTGATGTAATAAAAATCTTAACTTCAACTCTATTTCCTAAATCTCGCCTAAAATCAAGCTATATTTTCACTCTTTTATACTTGCTGCAGATGATATTGGCTGCCATTACTGATCTCGGGGAGAAAGACGGGTCCAGCAAGCTAGCGATTTCAAAACAAATAGAGGCTACTTACGGAAACCGCCTTCCGGCTGACCACTCTGCCATACTTTCCGATACACTCGCTAAACTAAAGGATTCCGGCAAGCTTTTGTTTGTGAAGAATAACTATCTGCAGCCGGATGCCGACCCTCAGCCGCGGAGAGGTCGTGGTCGTCCCCCGAAATCCAGGCCAGATCTTCCTGAAGGTGCAGCGCTTCAATCTCCGAAGCCTCGCAGTCTACCTGCAAAGAATAAAGATCCATCCTCTGCTTCTGCTGGAAAGAAACGTGGTCGTCCACCTAAGAATTCAAAAACAAATGGTGATTCTGTTCCGGCGGCTGGTGTTGCAAAGCCGACGGGCCCGAAGCGCGGAAGGGGACGACCGCCTAAAGTGAGTTCGTCGGCAGCGGAGGAATCATCGGAGTAAGTTAGACGAGGAGGTGACAGGGGATGCGGTAAAGGTTGGATTAGGGGATGATGGTTATGTACCACGGTTGGCTGAGATTATATTTTGTAGTTTTAGCTATTTTTAGGTTTTGTTTTGCATGTAAAATGCGTTGATGTAGTTTTGCAAATGAAAGTGACTGATTTGATGTTATGTTTGCTGGGTTGCTGCTTTCATTTTGGCTATTTTACTTTTATAATTTTGAAATTTTGTGTTTCGGGGACTTGTAAATCCAAGTAAGTGGTCCAGATGAGTTAAAAATCTTGCTTTTTTATTTTCGTTGTTTTGTTCTCTTTTGTTTTGTTTTATATTAGGAAGATGATGTTGCAGTATTTGTGAATTAAGAACTAGTTTTATGGTCTGTTCTTCGGCGAGAGAGAAAGGAGAAACTTGCTCTTACTATATCCTCCGGAATTTTTTTTTCAAGACTTGATTTTTTTATTGTTTTGTTAACTTTTAGTTTGTTTAAGATGTTCAGACTGGCGTTTTTTGTTTGTCAGCTCTTGCGCCATGCAAACAATTGTTTCCTTTTTACTAGTTTTTTTTATTTTACATGCCAATCAAACCAGAAGGAAGTTATAGTTTGCTTCATTTATTGTTTGTCTTCCTTTGTGGTTTGAATGGCTTGTTGTGCACTATTCTTGATGCAAATACAATGTGATTTTAGTTATTTAAGATTTATACACCGTTTATTTGATTTGATTTCTTTGGGGAAATTTTTTAAAATAAGGTATTGGTTATCTGAATCGGTTGATTGAATTAATTTATTAATTAGTGAATATAAAAATGAAGTGTTTCTTTTGTTTGAAATTATTCACACTATGTGAGATGAAGATTCTGGCTCAATATAGAGAAAATGGTTACATAGCATAGGAAAAACTGTTGTGTGATGGAAGAAATATTCCCTCAGTACTACGCACCTTCCTTACGGTGCGTAGCCAATATAAATGTGCCATTTGGAAACTACGGTCCCACGTAATTTAGGGGTATTCGCGACCCGGGCCCGACCCAAAACCCGAATTCACGAAAAAATCCCGCCACAATAAAATGATTTCGCGCCAGCTTCTGTTCTATTTTCGCTGGTTTTTTTCGCTGGTTTTTTTGACACCTTCGCATAGCTCCGTTCATAGCCGTTCATAGTTCCGGTCACAGCTCCGTTCACAGCTCCGTTCACAGCTCCAGTTCACAGCTTCATGGACTTTCAGATGCCAGAAGTCGATTTCTCCATGAACGTTGAGATGCCGGAAGCCTCCATGAACGTTGAGATGCCATCATTCAGCCTGAACTTTGAAGGCCAAGATGAAGTAAGTGTTGGTGTTACTGTTGTGTTATTGTGGTGTTACTCTGCTATTACTCTTGTTTCTTGCGTTTTATTTAGTACCGTTGTGTGGCTTAGGCTTTAGTTTTATCTCCATGTAAACGTAGGTGTTCGATGTAGTGTCTTTTGGATGTTGTTCCACAGTGTGGTTTGTTATCATGAGGGTTTTTTTCTTTTCGTTAGTATGGTTTAGGAATTCTGCTTTTGTTTGTGTTACCTTTGTGTTATTCTGGTGTTACTGTGGTGTTACTCCATGTAAACATAGGTGTTCACGTATCACTGGAAGCTACTCTACAGCGAGGTTTGGTTTAGTTATAGTTTTTTTTTT